ATGACAAAATTAACCCTCATTCAAAACAAAAATATTTTATTTGAGCTTATTAAGTGGCTTCACTAGTAAAGGAAAATATTATTTTTGATTAAAAAAAATTTAGGTAAGGAGTGACTCCCCCAATTCAGAATCGAGCATATCTAATATCAATTATGATTTACATAAGAATTTACAAATTGTCCACCAAGAGTGACGATGGTAAGATTCAAACTTGGCCTTATAAGCTCAAATTCATGAATCTTAACCATTTGTACAAATACTCATTAACGAATAGAAACTACCTTATAATTATTATAAAATAAAAAAATATTTTATGTTGGGAAACTTTTGAAGAGATAAAAAGCATTTAAAGTGGTTTTGAGAGGTTGGAAGGACTAGGAGAGAAGAGGATGAAAAAGAAAATTGTGGCAGCCCAAGTCGTATAGGGCAAAGAAGAGAGTGGGCGCCGCACTGGTCTCCAATCTCCGTTCGAAACTATCACACGATCTGTCCCATGACCCTCACAACGTATTTTCATTCCCTGCCCACAATAATAAAAGCGCCATTAAGTTTCCCAATAAACTTCCACCGCACAAAATCTAAGACGTGAACCTCACTCCATTAACATATTCATACTTAACTACTTAAGCCAACCCTATTTCTCTTGTGAGAAAAGTACACAAATAGTCCAATGATTATAGATTGTTACTTTGTTGAGCTCATTAACTATTATAATTTACAAAATAATCCATTGAATAAAACGTATTGCTCTGTTGACTCCTCTAACTATTAAAAGTTATAAAATAGTCACATATTATTCATATATTCTAAACTCATTTTTTTCATTAATGAATTAACGACTGTCTGAGCTGAAAGTTAATATGGACACTGTGATATGATAAAATCTTATCTAAAACCATTTAAGTTGTATTTTATAGATTGAATCTCTGTTTATATTATGTCGTCGAGTCAGTGCTTTAAACTTTATGTCGTCGAACCAGTGTCTGTCGTAACCGTTTTTTTTTTTAAAAGGAAATTTTTTAATTTGAAAACCACGTCATTTTTAATTTATTTCTTTTGATTGATTTTTAATTAAAAAAATAACATGAAACAACCTCTCATTTCGAAAATTTAGAAATTATTTTACAAATAAAAAAACATGGTTCGAAGAGTCGCCACCAATCTTTGATTAGGGTGTGATTGGGCACCTAAAAACGTTGTCATTTTAAATAAAATTGATTTAATTAAAACGACAAATTTACTGTCTACGTTACCAAAATCCAAGTTCGGGAGTCGGTTACATGTGGGGAAGGATTAGCACCCCCACAATGCCCTAAATCGGTACCTAGTCGATTAATTAATGTCTTTGCAACAAATTTCACAAGTTCGAATTTAATTTGATTTATGATCCTTTAAAACAACAAAAATGCAAATTTTAAAACCTTCAATAAGCAATAAAATAGGTTAAATTAAAATTACCTAGCCATTAAAAAGATAAAGTATATTCGATTATTTAAAAATATTGAGACCAAATCTTTAGGTCAGTTCTAACGACCTTTTCTTAACAAATTTAAATAACCGAACATTTCTTTTTCTTTCACTCCCTAATTTTAAAGTGAAAAATCAAATTTTTTAGTGATAATGACAGTATACACTTATAATTTAAAATCGTCAAGAATAACTTTCCTGTAAGTTAAGAAAAGCCATTTCGACAATTTTAAATTAAAAGGGTATTACCCTTAATTCGATTATGTAATTTGATTGAGTCATATACATAAGGCTAACATGCAAATATTAATTAAAAATAATAATTATCTACTTAATAAATATAAAAAAATACTAAACAATATACCATCTTAATACAAAAAAAAATATTTACACGTACTATGTAATAATAAGTTATAAATTATAAACCATACATACTAACATATAATGTACAAATGTGACTTAATTATAAAAATAAAAACATAAAATGCCAAAGTAATAAATTTAAAATATATATATATTTGAAATAATGACTAAATTTAAATGAATGTGAGATTAAACATGTAAATTAAAAAAACTAGTGGCCTAAATCAAAATATGCATAAATATAAGTCTATAACTAATTCACCCCTAAGATTCCAATGACTAACCTATAATTTTACCAAATATTTTTTATAAGTAACCTAAACTAAACCTAAGCTATCATTCACCCAAATAATATTTTACACAGCCGCACTTCTCCTCTCTACTTTCTCCTTCACGCCACACTGCTGAGAATCCATTATTCCACGCTTGCTTGGCCATTATCAACAATGGGTTTTACTCTGATCGCCCTAAAATCTCACATATTTTCTCTTCTAATCTCGATCTAATCACTAAAAACTTATAAGTAAACCTTAATTCCCCTTTTATTACAACTCCTAAACCAATGTATAGGGTCAACTAAACCCCTTCATACGCTGGCCAGTTCTTCGTTCTTCGCTATAGATCGGAGCCACTCTTCCGTGTACAACATCTATGGTGACCTAACGAACATAAGAACCGACCCTAAAGGTAAACTCCTCTCATTTTTAGTTTTGTTTTCTAATATCCCTTTATTCTTTTTATTTTTTTCTCTTAAGCTCTCGAATGGTGACTAATGGAAACCGACTCTTACATTCCTTGAATTCCAGCAATTAAAATAGCATGCAACTGTCGTTCATCGGCGACAATAACCTCACCTAAACGTGATAGGTTCCCGTGAAGGAACCCGAACATCTCAGGTAAACATCGCGCTTTCTCCTCTTCCTTTGTGTTTTATTATCTATATACTTTTAAAAAAAACAAAATATAGGAGATTTTTGGAAATAACAAATATGGAATTTCTTTTAAAACAATATCATTGTTAATGCTTGTTTGGTTACTTCGAATGGTTTATGGTTCTCTGTTACTGCTTTTAACCAGTGTTTATGCTTATCTATCAATGTTGTAAAAAATGAAGCAAAAACGTATTCACCTTGGAATCAGTTTAAATAAAAAAACAGAAAATAAAATACAGTAGAAAAGTAAATTGAAAACCTTCAGATGTATCCTGCTTGGTATTACTTCTGTCGAAGAGAATAAGGAAAACTTTTACAAATTTCTCTCTTTCAACTAAGAAATTTCCGTCACTTGATGAGTGTTTTTTCCCCTCTTGTTGATGAGCTCCCCCTTTCCCCTTTGAAAGTTCCTCTATTTATAATTGTTTCGAATCCACCTTTTCCTTTGATTAGTGCTGAAGCAGGTATCCCTAATCCCGTAATTTTCGGGATTTTTTCTTTATTTCAAAGGTTTAGGTAAACTTTTAATCTTTTGTTGACCTTGATTTTGATCCACTCACATTTGTTGAGATGGCCAGATGATGACAGCTTCTAGAGGCATTTGGTGGTGGCTCTATGTTGGCTTGGCAGTTCGGCGAAAATGATTCTGAATGGTTATGTAATTGGACTGGCCTACAAAATATGTAAATTATTAAATTATTAGCATTAATAATAATAATATAATAAATATATATATATTTTTAATCCCGATCAAAAACGGGTGTCTACAGCTGCCCCTCTTTGCGCATTCTTGTGTTAACAAGAATAGGGAAAAGATGAAAAAGACAACCAGTTTTTGTCCAGTCTTCCTTCGTTGTTAGATTGAACAAGTTCTTCGCATTATGAACTTCTTCTCTCTTTTGGATGAGTTTTTCTCATTATGAACTCTTCACTGAAAATGTTGATCCCTCAAGCGAGGCGTCCCTGACTCGAAATGCTGTGAATCGAGTGATAGGTCGAACAAGCTCTTCTCATTATGAACTTCTTCTCCCTTTTTCGGATGAGTTCTTCTCATTATGAACTCTCCATTGGAAATGTCAATTCCTCAAGCGAGGTGTCACTGATTCGAAATGTCATGAATCGAGTGATAGGTCGAACAAGCTCTTCTCATTATGAACTTCTTCTCCCTCTGTCGGATGAGTTCTTCTCATTATGAACTCTCCATTGAAAATGCTGATCCACCTCTTTTGTGATGGAACCAAACCAAGGTTGAACAAGTTCTTTTTATTATGAACTTTCTCCTTTAGGACGAGTTCTTCTCATTATGAACTCTTCACTGGAAATGTTGATCCACCTCCTTCTGCGGTGGATCATAATTGTTATTGACTCTCTCTGAATTTCTGTCAAAACATTCAAAGCATTTCAATGAATATGAATGAATGAGCATGCTCCTATTTATAGATGCCTATTAATGTATGCATGATATCATTTTAATATTATGAGCTTTGTGGTCTTGTAAATCTTCATTTCAAACACGTCATTCAACCTTTCATTTGTACCCCACACTTTGCTTGGGCTATTTCTCTTGTTCCCATACAAATCTTTTCTACTTCCTTTGATATGTTCATCTTTGTCAACGTATCAAAATATCAGTGTTTTCAATGTGCTTTTTCTCAGCTCACATGCATTTTCTTTGGTCATGTCTTACCCTACTCTCTTCGAGTATTAGGGTTAAAATTCCTGATATGGAAGTATTAATTCAGAGTAATACCAAGAAGTCTTTTATTTATTTTTAATGCCATGTCAATCTACTTATAAGAAGAATGAATAAATTGAGACTTGAAATAAAAACTTTAAATTCACTGACAAGGAAATGAATTTACAAAGTTATGACAATCACATAAATAGTGGAAATTTATAACCACAAGTCAAATGTCCCTATAGAACATTAGCATGAGTGTTCCTGAATCAATCCATTTGATATAACTATTGAGTTGAGCTTCTGTCTGAAGGATTTCAAGGTTTGCCAAAAGTTCTGTAAATGTGAAGTTTCTCTCAAAATATCAGACTTTCGAGAAGATTTAGCTGCCTGATGCCTAATCTCAAAATGCCTTTGAGCCGCCATTTCAGATTTTCAACTCAAAGTCTTCCTTTGGTTTCAAGATGTCCTTTGTGGATTTTCATCTTGAACCCTCCTTCTTCATTTTTCTTTCTTTTTTTTTCTTTTTTTTTCTTCTTTTTTTTTTCATTTTTTTTTCTTCAAGCATAGTACTTCTTAACAGAGTCTGAGTTTACCGGATTTCTCAGTTTTTCCCCATCCATCTCTGCTAAAATCAATGCTCCCCCAGAGAAGGCCTTATTGACAACATATGGACCTTCCCAATTAGGCATCCATTTTCCTCGGAAATCTTTATGAATTGGCAGAATCTTTTTTAGCACTAGATCACCCTCTCGAAATTCTCTAGGATGAACCTTCTTATCATGAGCTCTCATCATCCGTTTCTGATACATCTGACCGTGGCAAATAGCTTTTAATCTCTTTTCTTCAATGAGATTCAATTGGTCAAACCGAGCCTGAACCCATTCAGCTTCATCCAACTTCACCTCTTTCAGAATTCGAAGTGATGGGATTTCTATTTCCACTGGCAAGACTGCCTCCATCCCGTAAACTAAAGAGAAAGGCGTTGCCCCTGTCGAAGTTCGCACTGTAGTACGATATGCATATAAAGCAAAAGGTAATTTGTCGTGCCAATCTCTGTAAGTCTCAGTGGTCTTTGTGATGATCCTTTTAATATTTTTATTTGCTGCTTCCACTGCCCCATTCATCTTTGGACGATAGGTCACTGAATTAGAATGCTTTATCTTGAACTGAGTACAAAGTTCTACCATCATTTTATTGTTCAAATTGGTGGCATTATCTGTGATGATTCTTTCTGGCAACCCATACCGGCAGATTATCTCTCTCTTTATGAATTTGCAAACTGTAGATCTTGTGATATTTGCATATGAGGCAGCCTCAACCCACTTAGTAAAATAATCAATTGCCACAAATATGAAGCGATGTCCATTCGAAGCCTTTGGTGTAATTGCCCCAATGACATCCATGCCCCACATAGAAAACGGCCATGGTGCAGTCATCACGTGCAAAGGTGACGGAGATGCATGGATCTTATCACCATAAATTTGACATTTGTGACATTTTCTTACATAATCAACACAGTCTGAATGCATAGTGGCCCAATAATATCCATATCTCATGATCTTCCTGGCCATAGAAAGCCCACTTGCATGTGTTCCACATATCCCTTCATGCACTTCTTCAAGTATACTTCTCGCTTCTCGGGCATCTACACATCTCATCAAAACTTGATCACTACCCTTTCTGTACAAAACTTCCCCATCTAATACATATTCAGCAGTCATCTTCCTTATTGTCTTTTTATCGATCTCAGATGCATGTAGTGGGTAAATTTGATGCTTGATGTATTGCAAAATGTCATAATACCATGGACGATCATCTACCTCTTCTTCGATATCATAACAGTGTGCAGGGGTTTTATATATTTGCATTTTAATTGGCATCATATCAACTCTTCTATTTGCTTGGAACATTGTAGCCAGTGTGGCCAAAGCATCTGCCATTTGATTATCTTCTCGAGGGAGATAATTGAAATTGACATCTTCAAATTCTTTTACCAATTCAAGGATCAATCTTCGATATTCCACTAACTTTGGATCCTTTGTCTCCCATTCTCCTCGCAATTGATACACCACTAATGAGGAGTCTCCATATACTTGGAGCACTTTGATTTTTCTTTCTATAGCTGCTCTTAATCCCATAGCACAAGCTTCATATTCTGCCATATTGTTGGTGCAAAAGAACTCCAATCTGCTTGTAAAAGGATAATAGACATTTTCCGGGGAAATCAGTATCGCTCCAATTCCTTGTCCTAAAGCATTAGATGCCCCATCAAAATACAACCTCCAGGATTTATCATCTGAAATTGTTTCCTCCTTGGTTGTAATGCACATCAAATCCTCGTCTGGAAAATTAAAGTTCAAGGACTCATAATCATCTGAAGCACGACTTGCAAGGAAATCTGCTATGGCACTCCCTTTGATTGCTTTTTGATTCACATATACAATGTCAAATTCTGATAACAACATCTGCCATCTAGCCAATCTACCAGTTAAAGCCGGTGATTCCATTAAATATTTCAAAGGGTCAAGCTTAGATATCAACCAAGTAGTGTGGTATAACATGTATTGCCTGAGCCTTCGAGTAGCCCATACCAAAGCACAACATAGCTTTGAATTGGCGAGTATCGGATCTCACAATCGGTGAACTTTTTGCTTAGATAATAGATGGCTCTCTCTTTCTTTCCAGATTCGTCATGCTGCCCCAACACACATCCCATCGAATTCTCAAAGACCGTTAGATAAAGGATCAATGGTCTACCAGGAACTGGTGACACCAGAACTGGAGTATTAGACAAATATCTCTTGATTTTCTCCAAAGCCTCTTGGCACTCGTCATTCCAAACTTCGGGGTTGTTCTTTCGAAGTAATTTGAAAACTGGATCACATTTTTCAGTTAATTGTGAAATGAATCGAGATATATAATTTAACCTTCCTAGGAAACCTCGAATTTCTTTCTGAGTACGAGGTGGTGGAAGATCTTGAATGGCCTTTACTTTATCTGGATCGATCTCAATTCCTCTTTGACTAACCACGAAACCCAGAAGCTTCCCTGATGTTACCCCGAAGGTGCATTTAGTTGGATTGAGTTTCAATTGATATTTTCTCAGTCTTTGGAAAAGCTTCCTCAAGTTTTGAATGTGTTCTCCTTCAGTCCTGGACTTGGCAATCATGTCATCCACATACACTTCAATCTCTTTGTGCATCATGTCATGGAAAAGAGTCACCATAGCTCTTTGGTAAGTTGCCCCAGCATTTTTCAAACCAAATGGCATCACTTTATAGCAAATATGCCCCACATAGTCACAAATGTAGTTTTTTCCATATCTTCAGTGTTCATTTTTATTTGGTTATACCCCGAGAAGCCATCCATAAAAGAAAACCACGAATGACCAGCAGTGTTGTCCACTAAAGTATCTATATGAGGCAATGGAAAATTATCTTTTGGGCTTGCTTTATTAAGATCTCTGTAATCCACACACATGCGAACTTTCCCATTTTTCTTTGGCACAGGGACTATGTTTGCGACCCATTCCGGATACTTTGCCGCTTGAAGAAACCCTGCATCAATCTGTTTCATCACTTCCTCTTTAATTTTTAATAACATTTCTGGCTTCATTCTTCTGAGCTTTTGCTGAACTGGCTTACACTCAGGCTTTATCGGAAGCTTGTGCACCACTATGTCTGTACTCAGTCCTGGCATATCTTGATAAGACCATGCAAAGATATCCTTGAATTCTCGGAGCAGATCTATCAATTCTTGCCTTATCTCAACAGAAAGTGTGCTGCCGATTTTAACTTCTCTCTTGTCATCATCAGTTCCCAAGTTTATAACCTCAGTTTCTTCCTGGTGAGGTAAGATTTGTTTGTCCTCCTTTTCTACCAGTCTTAATAGTTCGTTAGGAACATCACATTCTACCTCATCCTGACATTCATTGATTTCTTCCAAACATATGGACTGCTCAAAGTTTATCTCAGTATTAAATTCAGAAACATTCATGCTATTGATATTGTGACACCTGCAAATGGAAAAATTGAATCGAATATATATTTGAAAGGAGACCAAAATTTATGAAATGAATATAAAGAATGAAAATGAAAATGTAAATAATGATAGCCATTTAAGAAACAAAGACTGTCTTTTATTGAAAGCAAGTAGAGTTAACATAGCTGCCCTTATGAAAATTCCTTAATACTTGCGGGCACAAGTATAAGGATTAGTACTGGGTATTACTCTGAATTAATCTTAAAAACTACAGGGAGATCCTCTGCAGTCCAATTTTTCAGTGTTTCCCCTGGGAAGCAAGGACGGATTCCAGCCAAATATCTTCCCGCTTTATCATCCCCAGTTATCATGTTAATGACCAAACCCTCCATAGCTTCATTGAACAAGTCTCTGTCTTTCATCTGCTCTTCTTCATCAATTGCTCTGGCTAATTGTTGCTCTATATCAAAAACTCCCCCAAACTTGAAAGAGCTTTCTAGGGGAGGGAAAAGCATACGCTCCCATGGAATATCCTCTCCTTTCAGTCTAGCTCTTCTCACTTCACCTCTCTTTTTCATTTCTTTCTTTCTTTGCTGAAAATCAGGCTTAAATCCCAGCCCGAAGCGATCGTTCTTCATCATGACAAATTTGGGATATAAACTCCCTTGCAAGCATATACCGAGACCCTTTCCTGTCTTGGCTCCTTTTCCTAGAGTCTCTCGCACAGTCATCTTAGTACAATCAGATAAACGCGGGCGAGGAATCTTGTTTCCTTCAGCAATGAAAGTAGCGTTGACAAATTCTAAAGCTCTGAAGGAACACTCTAGGGCATTCTCATTCGTCTCAATATATGGGGCGTCAGTCGTCACAGAAGCAATAATCTCTTCCTCTGCCCCAATACTAATCAACTGGCCATTTGTCACGAATTTTAATTTTGGTGCAAGGACGAAGGGACTGCCCCTGCAGAATGAATCCATGGCCTCCCAAGCAAACAATTATATGAGGGATTGATGTCCATCACCACAAAATCAATATTGTAGACAGTTGGTCCAATCAACAGTGGTATCTCTATCTTTCCAAGCACATCCCGCTGGGTTCCATCAAAAGCTCTAACAATGTTTTGGTAGGCCCTCATATGTGAGTTGTCCACCGGTAACCTCCGTAATGTGGCCATAGGCATAACATTAAGTGCAGACCCATTGTCAATCAAAACGCCTGACAAGACATGACCATGACAATGAGTTGTGATATTGAGGGCTTTTACTGATCCCATTCCACCATCAGGAATTTCATCATCAGTGAAAGTTATGTAGTTGTCAGCAGCTATGTGCCTACAATTCGATCCAACTTGTTCACTGATATATCCTCAGGCACAAATGTTTGATTGAGCACTTTTAACAAAGCATTCCGATGTACTTCTGAATTTATTAACAAATCTAGAATCGAAATCCGTGCTTGTTGCTTGTGTAGCTGTTCAACTACATTATACTCACTATGTTTTAAAAACTTCAAGAATTCTTGAGCTTGCGTTTCTGTTACCGGCTCATTGATCATTGGTGGGAGTTCATCATCAAATATCTTTTGCGGTACCACCACAGTTTTTCCTTTTGCCTTCATTTTGTCCATTTCTTTTGACATCTCAGGAGAATAACACCTCCCACTTCTCGTGAAGTGCCCGACTTCATTCACTATTCCAGTCATCAAGTTGCCTACTGGTGCTTCACCTTCAACTACCTTTATTTTCTCTAGCGAACCAGATTCTCTTATTAATGAAACATTGGCAGTGTAATTCCAAGGCACCTTGCGGGTGTCTTTAAACGAAAATGTTGAAGGAGCTGTGATTACAACTTTTGGCGTTGACGACCCAGAATTCATTGCTGATGATTTCACAGTGATGACTACTGGCTTGTTTGTTTTGTGAACGGGCTCAGAATTTTCTGTCATGAAGACATCTTTTTCTCTTTTTTCCTTATCTTCCTCAAAGAACTCTACCTCCTTATTATCCATCAATCTTTGTAGTAACCCCCTGAATTCAGGGCAAAGCTGAATTTCATGCCCTTCTTCTTGGTGATATTCACAATAGTGTTCACACTCATTGGTCTTTGGCTTAAGATCTTGTCGAATCATGCCAGCCTGATAGAGTTGTTGGAATACCCAACTGAAGGGAGATTTGATTTCATGAATGTTTGTCTTTGCCTTCCTCTATTCTCCTCATGGATGGTATTTATCCCTTTACCTCCATGATTCGGTAGTGGGTGTGTTGATGCATCTGGTGAATCAAATTGTAATCCTCCTGTGTTAATCAGATTCTGCACTATCTTTTTGAAGGCATAACAATTCTCTATAGAATGACCAGCAATTCCATCGTGGTAATCACAATGCGCATTTGCGTCATACCAATGAGGGTACGGTGGTTGAAGAGGGGTCAAACGGTAGGGGCGTACCACATCTGCCTTGAATAACGAGGCGTATATCTCTGAATAGGGTACGGGTAATGGTGTGAAGGACACCTTCTCTCTCTCCTTACGAGGTCCCCTGAAATCATTTCTAGTGGTGTTCATGTCATTCCTCTCAGCCCTTGATTGGGTTATTGTGACACTATTTGCAGTATTCTTGTGGTAGACATTTGCACTGTTAACTTCATTTTCCTTTTTTCGGTATACAGGTTTTTTGGAGCTAGACCCTTCAACTACTTCAATCTTGCCACTTCTTATAGCATTTTCGATGAGCTCACCAGAGATGATCAAATCAGCAAATTTTTGGTGGCATTTCCAAGCAAATGCCCCAAATACGGAGCTCTCAAAGTATTGACAAAAATTACAGTAGCCTCCTTTTCGAGTAAAGGGGGTTGGACCTGTGCAGCAACATCACGCCACCTTTGAGCATATTGTCGGAAAGTTTCATTGCTTCTTTTTTCCATATTTTGAAGAGTCCACCGATCAGGAATTATATCTGTAACATGGCGATACTGTTCTAGGAATGCTTTTGCCAAGTCCTTCCATGATTTGATATGAGCCCTAGTTAATTGGTTATACCACTTAGCGGCAGAACCTGTCAAACTGTCTTGAAAACAGTGAATCAACAGTTTTTCATCGTTCACATGGCCAGCCATCCTCCGGCAAAACATGGTTATATGAGATGAAGGACAAGTGGTTCCATTGTATTTTTCAAACTCGGGAACCTTGAACTTTATAGGGATAATCAGATCTGGGACCAAACTTAACTCTCTAGCATCAGACCCATAGAACGGTTCAATCACTTCTACCGATTTTACCCTTTCTTCCAATTTCTTCAATTGTTGATTTATCTGTTCATTGGCTTTTTCCTTCTCGGCTAACTCGTTCAGATCCGGGGTTAAATGCTCGGTATTAAATTCCCCTATCCTTACACCTGAAACAGGCTGATAAATGTTTGGGAATGTGGATCCCATGTGGTGCTGCTGATTCTCATTGCTAACATATACATGAGGTCGAGTTTCTTGAGGTACCGAAGGATGAGCGGATATATGTATAGGTGTGAAACCAGGAGGAGGACGGGATTCTGGTGTAAACCCTGGTGGGTACTGAGGGTCAGAAGTAAACCCCGCAGGATGTGATGCTCCAGCTCCAAACCCTGGAGGATGTGATGGATCTTGCTCGGATGACATTAGTTGGTCATCCACAATCCTTCCACCTGTAGCATGTTTCTTAAACATTTCTTCCATCCTTTGTAGTAGACCGGCTTGCGAGTTTGTTATCTCTGCTTCCATCTTAGTTAATCTCTCTCTCATTTCTTCTTGAGCTTGTTTTTGTTCTTGCTCAAGTTGGATCATTCTAGCTTCCATTTTCTTTGTTGTATTCCGAGTACCGTACGGGTGTGAGGTGAATGCCAGAATAACTACAATGATTGGAAATCATATTTTACATTATTTTTGGTGTTTTAATGAATGAATGCATGTTACGTGGTAATAAAATGATAAAAGTGCGAATAAAATACAGAAAACAATACTTAAACAAAATGCAAATGTATGCAGAAAGGCATTGATTCATAAGACGTGATCAATCTTTAGAACAACTTTCATTTAGGACAAAACCCTTATCATTACAAGAAAAATTTATTACAGAAAAGGCCTAGCTCTAGTGCTCAATTCCATTATCTCATTGACAAGCCAATTGACCCTTTTTCCTACATCTGATGCGGGACTTGTATAACTCTGGATAACTCTTGCTTGAATGTCCATCTCTCCCAATTGTCTTGCAACACCGCTTAATTGATTCATGGTTTCAAGGATTATGCTATTCACATTCGTTTTCCAGTCTTCAAAACGATCACTCGAGTTCTGCCACTGCTGTCGGGTACTTTCAACAGTACGCTCAAGACTAGAGATCTGTATTTGACAGCTTCGCAAGGCATTCTCTAAATCATTAACCTTTCTTCGCAAAGCATCATTCTCTTCGAGACTAACCCTTAAATCTGATGGCCAGCGCTGACTATTCTCTGTGAACAAGGAATTTTCAAGCTGCCGAATGTAAACACCATACTCTTCATTCTTTGCTTGAGCCTGAGTTAACTTTTCCTCATGCCTTGCTTCTATCTCTTGCATCTCTTGATTAAGGACCTCTATTCGTTCGTTCTTTGTTACACATCTTTGCATCCAAATGAACACTTCATCCTGTTTGCTTTTAAGCACATGATCTTTATGTTGTCTTTCTAATTTCAATTCTTTATTGGTTCGTCTCTTTTCAGCTTCGAGTTCACCTATTCTTTGTCCTCTAATCTCAAGTTCATTTTGCATGCTGTTCACCTCCATTTCGAACCCTTGAAACATATTATTTTTCTCAATTTCTAACTGTTCTATCCTTCGTTTTCCTTCCTTAATCTCGCTTAATCTACTATGCTCTTCAACTTTGAGCTCCTCAATATTAACTTGCAACCTTCGTACTTCAAAAGTGAGCTCCTCTTCTCGTTTCTTGCTCAAAGTATGCCTTTGTCTTAACTCTTTAGCTTCTTTCCTTTCGTTATTCAGTGCACTAGCCCAGGATTTCTTCTCTGACTCGAGTTCATGATCTTTTCTCTTCTTCTCCGCCTCTAGTTCTCTGACTCGGCGCTCTCTTTCGGCTCTGACATCCCTAACTCGACGATCCCTTTCAGCCTTGAGCTCCAACCTCCACTGTTTTGAAGTTTTTTCGAGCCCAACAATTCTTCGGTAATCATTTTGTAAGTTAGCAAAATTAGCCTCAACCTTCTCTTTTCTCTCGCGCATCAACTCAAATTGTTTATTATAAAACCCCTTATCAATGTCCAACACAAAATTCTTTTGTCTAAGAGCCTCACACTCTGCCTCCTTTCTGGCGATCTCTGCTTCGAATTCACTCTTAAGTATCTCCAACTTAGATGGTACGTGTCTGAATTGTGTTTCCAAAGGAATTACTTGATCACGATCCGCCAAGGGAATGACATCATTCTTTCTTGCCGCTCTCCATGCCACATAATCTGGTGTCAGCATGACCTCGGCTGCTACTAAATCGGTTCTAAAGATTGACTTCCATGCATCTGACATCACTCGAGCAGTTTCTTGTAGTGATCTCCGTAGTACACAAATTCAGATGTCTTTAGACCGGATGTAATTGGGACGAATTGGCGTGCCCCAAATTGTCGTAATACCATTAATGGAGCATAACCTACTCCACCCCATAACCCTAATAGGGTTACCCAATCAGAATCTCCGCATTTGTACAATACATCAGCAAAAGCTAACCAGGGAACACGCCATACTATATCATGATCTTGTAGATTTCTGAAGAGTGAAATCCAATCTTTCCTGGTGAGATGCTCCGGCCATTCCTTGGTAAGGAAATCTTTTAATGGTGAATAGGCAATTGAAAACCGGCGACTGTACTCTCGATCCATCTTCCAGAAGTGGCTACGTATCCAAACAGTAAGCAACTGGATACACCCAGTGAAGCGACTACTCTCTGCTCTTCTGCAACTATTAAGCGCCCTGAATGTCTCTGCCAAAACCGCAGGAACAGGATTCACCTTCCTTTCCAAACGCTCGAATAAATCGACTACAGCGGATTCTACATGACAAAGAACTTTCGGGAAAATCACTAAACTGTAAATTCCCAAAGCAAACATCTCCATTCTCTTCTCAATATCGTCATGTTTGACAATAAGTTCTTTCAGGCATGGCCAAGGGAAACAATCAGACTCTCCTTTCTTTTGGATTCGATCAGCAACCCACTTCTCCCCCATTCCGGTAATTTTTGCAAGTTTGCTTTTGAAGGATTGCACTCTTGTGGCCTTTGAGTAAATCCTATCCAAATGTATCGTTTCGAAATGAAATAGGGAAGTGTACTCTTCCAACGTGGGAGTCATGTCTTCCTTGTTGAAGGTGAAACAACTATATGCTGGATTCCAAAACTGGATCAAAGCTTTAATCAGGGGTTCGTTTACTTTCACGTACAACAACAGGGCTATGTCACCATATTTTTGCCAGAAAGCATACTTCACATCAGAATTCCAACCCTCCCAAATTTCACGTAATTCTTGCAGATCGTTTTGCTTTAGACTGACCGGAGCAACTTCTGGTAGTACCGATATATAACCTTCAGTCAGACTATCGCCTTTCTTCATCTGAGTTTCCTCTGACCACGACCTCACTTCCGCGTTTTTTATTTCCTTGTTATGAAAGCTCTTGTCCATTTTATGATCACCTTCTACTTTGATGACCACTTCGTGAACCAACGCCTTTCTTTATGAATGATAATGTAATGCAACAGTAATAAAACACAGAAACACGAACGCAAATAAAATGTGTTAGTATATATAATAAATAATCAAGAAAAACAATATAATAAATAAAGCTTGAAAATATATACATCCTAACCCTTATCCATATGGAATCTACCCAACATGATATTTACCCACATGCTTTGTCATTCAAAAAAAAAACCATAGCCACATTTTTCTAGATCACAGCCTTTGTACGAAAAATATAAAACCTAACCGCATGTTTTTCTAATTCTTATACATATTGCAAAAATAAATTCGAGGAAAAGGTTAGAATGAGTTTCCCCTTTGTGTCTGCGGACAGAGTTTCATCATAAGACGGGCAAAGTTTTGGTAACACTAACAGGGTCCTCAAATTGTCCTTTGCTGGTGCCCCTTAGGCTTGCCAGACCCTCGACCCTCACCCATTATAGGCTTAAACGGGTCAAGTTCAATTCGAGAGGATACATTTCTTTATGTCCATGCGAGAAAACGCAATGTTTCACTCGTAAACATAAGGCATATGTACCCTAGAGGTTATTTGCTAAAGCCCATGCGGAGAAAAGCAATTTTTCTCACGTAAGCGTAGCGTTCACCTCTACCTAACGGGACAGAGCACAGTTAGAAGGCTCTAAAAATCAAAGGGTTATAGCGACAGTGGGGAAACTCATAATCCTTTGCCTCGATCCAAGAAAAGCAACATACTAAAGTGAAGGTCAGAAAACTGAAACATGTAAATCACACGTTAGTACAACTATTTATTCATTAATCAAATTACAAATTAAAATGCAAACAACAATTTAAAACAAACCAGGATCAAAAACCAAATTAGAATGAATTATAACTTTCATATGCAAAGATAATTGACTAATCGATTATCGGCCTGACTCTCTAAAAAAGTCCCCAGCAGAGTCGCCAAGCTGTCGTAACCGTTTTTTTTTAAAAGGAAATTTTTTAATTTGAAAACCACGTCATTTTTAATTTATTTCTTTTGATTGATTTTTAATTAAAAAAATAACATGAAACAAACCTCTCATTTCGAAAATTTAGAAATTATTTTACAAATAAAAAAACATGGTTCGAAGAGTCGCCACCAATCTTTGATTAGGGTGTGATTGGGCACCTAAAAACGTTGTCATTTTAAATAAAAATTGATTTAATTAAAACGACAAATTTACTGTCTACGTTACCAAAATCCAAGTTCGGGAGTCGGTTACATGTGGGGAAGGATTAGCACCCCCACAATGCCCTAAATCGGTACCTAGTCGATTAATTAATGTCTTTGCAACAAATTTCACAAGTTCGAATTTAATTTGATTTATGATCCTTTAAAACAACAAAAATGCAAATTTTAAAACCTTCAATAAGCAATAAAATAGGTTAAATTAAAATTACCTAGCCATTAAAAAGATAAAGTATATTCGATTATTTAAAAATATTGAGACCAAATCTTTAGGTCAGTTCTAACGACCTTTTCTTAACAAATTTAAATAACCGAACATTTCTTTTTCTTTCACTCCCTAATTTTAAAGTGAAAAATCAAATTTTTTAGTGATAATGACAGTATACACTTATAATTTAAAATCGTCAAGAATAACTTTCCTGTAAGTTAAGAAAAGCCATTTCGACAATTTTAAATTAAAAGGGTATTACCCTTAATTCGATTATGTAATTTGATTGAGTCATATACATAAGGCTAACATGCAAATATTAATTAAAAATAATAATTATCTACTTAATAAATATATTAAAAAATACTAAACAATATACCATCTTAATACAAAAAAAAATATTTACACGTACTATGTAATAATAAGTTATAAATTATAAACCATACATACTAACATATAATGTACAAATGTGACTTAATTATAAAAATAAAAACATAAAATGCCAAAGTAATAAATTTAAAATATATATATATTTGAAATAATGACTAAATTTAAATGAATGTGAGATTAAACATGTAAATTAAAAAAACTAGTGGCCTAAATCAAAATATGCATAAATATAAGTCTATAACTAATTCACCCCTAAGATTCCAATGACTAACCTATAATTTTACCAAATATTTTTTATAAGTAACCTAAACTAAACCTAAGCTATCATTCACCCAAATAATATTTTACACAGCCGCACTTCTCCTCTCTACTTTCTCCTTCACGCCACACTGCCGAGAATCCATTATTCCACGCTTGCTTGGCCATTATCAACAATGGGTTTTACTCTGATCGCCCTAAAATCTCACATATTTTCTCTTCTAATCTCGATCTAATCACTAAAAACTTATAAGTAAACCTTAATTCCCCTTTTATTACAACTCCTAAACCAATGTATAGGGTCAACTAAACCCCTTCATACGCTGGCCAGTTCTTCGTTCTTCGCTATAGATCGGAGCCACTCTTCCGTGTACAACATCTATGGTGACCTAACGAACATAAGAACCGACCCTAAAGGTAAACTCCTCTCATTTTTAGTTTTGTTTTCTAATATCCCTTTATTCTTTTTATTTTTTTCTCTTAAGCTCTCGAATGGTGACTAATGGAAACCGACTCTTACATTCCTTGAATTCCAGCAATTAAAATAGCATGCAACTGTCGTTCATCGGCGACAATAACCTCACCTAAACGTGATAGGTTCCCGTGAAGGAACCCGAACATCTCAGGTAAACATCGCGCTTTCTCCTCTTCCTTTGTGTTTTTATTATCTATATACTTTTAAAAAAAACAAAATATAGGAGATTTTTGGAAATAACAAATATGGAATTTCTTTTAAAACAATATCATTGTTAATGCTTGTTTGGTTACTTCGAATGGTTTATGGTTCTCTGTTACTGCTTTTAACCAGTGTTTATGCTTATCTATCAATGTTGTAAAAAATGAAGCAAAAACGTATTCACCTTGGAATCAGTTTAAATAAAAAAACAGAAAATAAAATACAGTAGAAAAGTAAATTGAAAACCTTCAGATGTATCCTGCTTGGTATTACTTCTGTCGAAGAGAATAAGGAAAACTTTTACAAATTTCTCTCTTTCAACTAAGAAATTTCCGTCACTTGATGAGTGTTTTTTCCCCTCTTGTTGATGAGCTCCCCTTTTCCCCTTTGAAAGTTCCTCTATTTATAATTGTTTCGAATCCACCTTTTCCTTTGATTAGTGCTGAAGCAGGTATCCCTAATCCCGTAATTTTCGGGATTTTTTCTTTATTTCAAGGTTTAGGTAAACTTTTAATCTTTTGTTGACCTTGATTTTGATCCACTCACATTTGTTGAGATGGCCAGATGATGACAGCTTCTAGAGGCATTTGGTGGTGGCTCTATGTTGGCTTGGCAGTTCGGCGAAAATGATTCTGAATGGTTATGTAATTGGACTGGCCTACAAAATATGTAAATTATTAAATTATTAGCATAATAATAATAATAATAAATATATATATATTTTTAATCCCGATCAAAAACGGGTGTCTACAGTGTCTAAAAGTAATGAAGGTGTCGATAGACATCATTAAAATATGATTTTATCATATCTCAGTTAGTAGGTTAACATCCAACTGATGCGATCATCTAAGTTTTAACAGAAAAAGACTAATTTAGAATATGTGAATAGCCATGTGATTATTTTGTAACTTTTAATAATAGAATGACTCAACAAAGTAACGTCTTATAGTCGAGAGACCATTTAGTAACTTTTAATAGTCGGAGGATTCAACAAAATAATACCCTATAATTGAGGGATAATTTTATAACTTTTAATAGTTGAGAGACCTAATAAAACAATATCCTATAGTTGAG